TCATTTATTAGTAACTTGCAGTTTATTAACTTGTTAACATGTTCATTTACCGGTAACTTACAGTTTATTAACTTGTTAACATGTTCATTTACCGGTAACTTACAGTTTATTAACTTGTTAACATGTTCATTTACCGGTAACTTACAGTTTATTAACTTGTTAACGTGTTCGTTTACCGGTAACTTACAGTTTGTTAACTTGTTAACATGTTCGTTTACCGGTAACTTACAGTTTATTAACTTGTTAACATGTTCATTTACCGATAACTTACAGTTTGTTAACTTGTTAACATGTTCATTTTCCAGTAACTTACAGTTTATTAACTTGTTAACATGTTCATTTACCGATAACTTACAGTTTGTTAACTTGTTAACATGTTCATTTTCCAGTAACTTACAGTTTATTAACTTGTTAACTTGTTAACATGTTCATTTACCGGTAACTTACAGTTTACTTACTTGGTAACATGAAATTGATCACGTTTATCAAGACAAATCCTCTGTTTAGCTCTTTTTTATCGATTTTTTTAAAGCTAGAGATACACAATGGATTATCGTCCAATGTGTCCAATACGGAGAATCGAACCCCGGAATTTAGTATTACAAGTTTTCAGGTTTCCCGCTAACCAGTTAACCTTATGAACACACACACAGATATATATATATATTTCAAAATGATACAATGGAATACGCGCTGGTTTCACCGCGGAGAATCGAACCCCGAATTTTGGCGTTATAAGCTTTAAAGTTCACCACTGACAAATTAACGCGCGAATATATATATACATACATATTAATTTCAAAATACAACTAAAGAAAATAAGCAAATAGGTCTCAATCAAGTGATTTTAAAAATTCGTACGCGTGAAGATATATGGTTGAATATAATTGTAATGTTGTTGTTTTTTTTTTCTCTCCTAAACCTCAACAGGTTATCAATTAATATTCCGGAAAGAATTTAATTTGTTGAAACACTTATTATCCCTTTTCAGGAAAACCTCGACCGACCGTCACCTGGTGGCGAGATTATTCATTGTTAGATGGTAATTATACGTTCGAACTTGGCGATATTGTTCAGAACCAATTGAAGATTGAGAGACTACATCGCCACGACCTTTTAGCAGTACTGACCTGTCAAGCGTCCAATAACAACATCACTGTACCAGCATCCAATGCTGTTACTGTCGACATGAATCGTAAGTATACAATGTCATTCAATAAGGATTACCTTCATCGTGCCTCTTGGTTACCCTTGTTTAAAACAGGAGAAAATTATATTAATGTAGAGGCCTTTTATGTCATCAATATACGTCTTTCTAGATCTGTCGCACAGGAACCTAAACATTAGATCTATATTAGAGGAATCTAAATGCTAAGTATATAGTCCAAGAATCTAAATGTTAGGGCTATAATCCAAGAATCTAAATGTTAGGGCTGTAATCTAAAAGTCTAAATATTAGGGCTTGTAATCCAGAAAGCTAAATAAATATTCAGGGTGTAATCTAGAAATCTAAATATACACCTGGAAAAAAGTTAAGCACCCCCGTGTTTTTTTCAAGTGATTCAGATTCGACGT